AACATGTCGTCAGTTAATTTTGCCGCCTATCACCACGGCAAAACTCGTCTTCAATTCATCACTAACACGTGTCAGCACACTGCATTGTCCTCACTCAGTCACCGTATCACGACTCTAACACAGTCTCTACCTCTTCATCACGTCTTTACCACTGCTATATGCACATTCACGAACACACAATACAATCTGTCGTCAGTTCATTTTGCCGCCTATCACCACGTCAAAACAAATCTTCAATTTATCACTAACACGCGTCAGCACACTGCATTGTCCTCACTCACCATATCACGACTCTAAAACAGTCACTACCACTTCATCACCTCTTTAGCCACGTTGTTGACACATCAACAACTCACCTCCATCACAGGACGTGTCCACTTATGTACCTCCACCAAAATATCCACCCAGCCATTTACCAACTGTCACCAACGTAACCCGATTAACAGCCACTAACACTGACATCAGCCCAGTCACCTGTTAATTCCATGGCAGGCGCCTAATTTTAATCTTTGCCCTAAAACACAACTCCCGATACCGCCGCCAGCACCGCTTCTCCTGCCATTGCTGCTTGAAAGGTCGACCGAACCCCTCCCGGCTCCGCCCCCACCCCCGCCGCCTGCCACGCTCCAGCCCGTACCGAAGCCCGCTCTCGCCCGACGCGCCGCTGCGTTGCGGGGGCGGAGTTGGCAGAAGTTCGCTTCTCCAGTCCGCTGGCTGCCTCCGCCGCCGTCTCCGACGCCCCCGGGGGCGTCAGCGAAGAGAGCTCCCGCCAGGTGAGAGAAGATCCCGAGTCCCGCCTTGCCCCGCCCCCAACAACAACACAAGCAAGCGCGGCTGCCACCCGACAGACCCCTCCCCTCGTGCGGTTTCTCTGCTTTCCCACCGGAGCGGGCGGGCGGTGGCGCTCCTGTCTGGGCCGTCCTGCCGGCTGCGAGCGCCGTCGCGCCGGCGTCTCTTCCTGTCACGCAGACAGCTCGCAGTGCCACGCTACTTACACGGCCATGAGTCCATACTGTCGTCGTATCTGATCGTACAATGACCACCGGTAGCCTCGACTAACCTCACTCCTCCATCATCACCTGCTTTTCTACATCTCTCATCTGGTTCTATATCAAAGCCCACCTCAGTTTATCTACCCCCCCCGTTTACCAACACCCAACCCTGCGTAACCTGTCAACTGCACCCGTCCTCCTGTCGCAGTCTCCTGTCTCTGATATCCCCTCCCGCGGCGCGACGCCACGACTACCCGAGGTTTCTCACGCTCCCGCTACCCCGTCCCCCTGCCTAAGCAACATCATGTTATCTCCATTCTCTCTCCTTCCCACCTTTCATCAGCAGCACCGCCCCGCCCATCTCATTCGCACCCACTTCTGTTCCGATTTAGACTTCGTTGCTCACTCTCTCCGCCACTGATTTCTCCCATTGCCACACAGCCTTCTTGCAGTTCATCTCATCGCCACGCACTTTGCATACCAACCGCTTCGCTTAATTGATTGATGTTATCGCTACCTTCATCTGGTATGGTCATTTGTCCTGTAAGAGTAATTACTACTTTTTATAACTTTAACAACTTTACGGTGTTTCCTCTCCCTTCTAGATGGTGAGCAGCGACACCGACCAACAAAAAGACTTGCGCGATTTTCTCTCCAAGTACCTCCCCCTCCCTCTCTCACTCTCCTATCTCGGACAAGCCCTAAGCTACTTATTAGTCATACACTACACTGCCACACATGTCAAGAACATGTGTGGTAGTGTAGTGTGGAAGTAAGGGGTGAGAATAGGGCAAGGACTAGGAAGGAAAAATCGCGCACGATCCGTGGCCCGTATATTAGGACTGCTCCGACATTAACCTGGTACTGGTTGAGGAACCCACGGATAATTACACATCAGAGCAGCCTGTCACTAGGTTGTCCTGCACACAGCAGCTGAATTCGTCCACTCAGTTAGGATCGAAACTCTTTCCCCCGTCGGGTGTCGAACCCTACAACCTCCCTGTCAGAGTCGCTGAGAGGCTAAATTCAGCCGCTGCTCCGCTTGGAGCTGCCTCTGCCGCGGCAGGCGTCTGTCGGTGGGGCGCGCGTTTCCCTCCCTGGGCGCCCCCCTCCCCCCCGTCGCCTTCCTGCCTTCATTTCCTTCGCTGTCGTCGCAGTCGCCGCCGCCGCTACGCTAATCTGCGGCTCCTGTTGCAGACTCCCCCTTCGTCCGGCGGCCCCGCCTTGCCCAGACCCCGGCGGCCGCCCGCACCCTTCGCCCCGGCGCAGCAGACGCCCGCGCGCACCGATCCCTGACCCCGCGCTCTGCGCGTGGCGATCCGGCAGACTCGATAAGCCTGGTGGGCCTATCGCTTGCCGTGGCCCTGCCGACCCCTACTTATTGCAAATCGTCCGACTTACCTCCGTGGGGAGAGAGGGCCGGGGTGTCGAACTCTCCGGCCAAGCATTTACGGCTACTTGCTTTGCGGCGGCGATGGTATAACGGTTAGCGTACCGGATTGTTGTACCCAAGTTCGCGGGCTCAAACCCGATCGAAGCCGTGGATTTTTAAGGGCGAAAAAATTCTTCGTACGTCTTCCTTCGGAGGGGAAGTAAAGCCGGCTGTCCCATGTTAGTAGATACTTCCATTGTAAAAGATTCTCAAGCCTAAGTGACGGTCAACTCTGAACTAAATTCAAATCGCCTGTTTCTCGCCCAACGAAATCCTCTTTTTCTCTGCTAGTTTGCTGAAAGGAGCGTAGCGGAAGTTTGCGTGGTCAGACGGAGAAGAGGCGGGACCTATACCGAACTCTGCGCCACGTAAAATAAGGCAAAATTCAATTTCAATTCAATTCAACACTCGAAGCATACGGCTACTTGCCAGCCCTCGCGCGCCGGTCTATTTCAGTAGTGAAGAAGAAGAGTTTACTTTACAGACTTTTAAATGGTTTAAAAAGACTAAAATACTCCTTTTAATTTTTCTCAACATTTCCGCAAGGAATTCAGTAAAAAGGATCAAGCTTCTAGATTTTAAAACTTTTAGGCTAATGATTCCACCCTATTCGATAAATAATTACAGCGTTTAAGAAAAGAGATTACAGTTAATATGTTTGCTGATTGATTGTATTAAATATTGTTTTACAATATCTAAAATTTAAGAGAACAGGAGAGGCGTGTCTCAAAGGGTTCTTTTTTGTTTCTTTTTTCAGATTAGCGTTTCACAGAGGAGATCAAATAGTGAATAATATTTTTTTTTTATTTTTGCAGTGGAAGCAGCGATGGGGCGTGGTTACCAAACTTTCTCCAGCAGCAGGTGAGTACGAAGGAGTAATTCATTCTGTGATATTCATACTCCATGATCCAGTAATGAATGATATTAGCGACTCCTATTTTGTATGTGTATTTTCTCATTTTGGTAACATCTTTAATGAGTATTTCGTATTCTTTATTGCCTATTACCCTTACCCGACAAACGATGTACTTCCGAGGTTGTAAATATTTCGATTTTTCTTAGAAAATTAAGAAATTAAGAGTTTTAAACGAAATAAAATGTTCCCGTTTTTAAAGATTATCTTATTCTTTTCATTGCTTGGTTTCAGTTCTTTTAGAGAACGTCGCGCGTAGGTAATAAAGACTGATGGCACAATGAGACAGAGTAAATGCTCTTTGATTTCCCACGATTACGAATTCTGAATTGCTTTCACAAAAGTGACTGCTTCCAAATAACGGCATTGATCAACGAATCAATATCTACTTCACAATACCTAAAATGGTTTCATTACTTTACCTGTCGGTGATTTTAACTCGAGTTCCAACTGTCTGAAGGTGCTAAGGAAATGAAAGCTTCTAAAACAAATTTATTTTGCGCTGCCGTTACGTAATAATTAGAAATATATGTTCAGTGCACAAGGATAAATTTCTTTACGATTCCAATTTATTGGAGCGAATGAATGGCAAAGTTATTTTCTCTTGAAATGAAATATTAATTTTATTAACTTGAATGTATAAAATTCCTAGATGAATTCAACGTCAATGTACAGTAACAAAAAGTGTGTCCTTTAACTGCAAAAATACATAGAAATTTGCAACTTAGACCCACCTTTTCACACATTATGTACACGAGTAAAACAAAATTTTTATAATCTCATCCGTTCTTAAACTCTTTTCGGGATGTTTGCATTTTTAATACTGCAAACTTCTGACGCAGAGACTATGTTAAAATGCTGTCTACTAATATTATCATCCAGTAACGATCAAGACAAATACAAAAATTGTATCACTATCAACCACTGTCTAGATTGTAAATGGATAAATTATCAACAATATTATAGTATATTCTTGAGAATAAAACTGGATAAATAAGAACTCCTGTCTAATAGCAGTTCTACATCATACTAATTATCATGGACCGCTATAAAAATTGAATAATTATCTGCGTATTAAATAGCCACACTAACCAACAAAAAAATTGCGGCGTATATTCATGTCAAGGAAATACTTCTACATTTCAGTTGTATGTGTAGGCCCTCACTTTCAAAGAAAAACCTTCCTCTCCCGTAGATTTTCTGCTCCTATTCATCTCACTTTAACAAATTACGCACTTCATATTTCCTCCCTAGTAACATTTTTTAGGCAGAGTCGGAAGAAAAATGTCTGGAGTGGAGCCATAATATGGTTTGTCCGCGACATGAAGTTGTAATCTGGTTGTTTTGTATCCTTCCGCACCGCTTTATCATAAGATCTCGTAAGGCATATTTGGGAAAGAAGATTGAATGTGCGTTGTTCATTTTCCCGAGCATATTCACAAATTACAATGCCGTTGACATGAAGGTGTCAACACTTCCACAGAAATGTAATGCAATAAAGTGAATCATTCTACATCAGTCACTATAATAATGGAAATTGTTTCTGGGTTGACTTAATCGCGTATGCCAGAATTCATCCGAGCCGTAAATGAATCTTGGTTTAGCCAATTATAAAATTCCGAAAAATGAAATATCAATTTCAACTCCAATTTCACGTATGAATACAAAACGTTTTATGAACTTCAGAATACCAACTGAAACGTCTTCGCAGACATGGACATCAATTTTTAAATATATAGATGGGTCATGTCTTATAGTACTAAATATATGAAGAATAAAATAATAATAATAATAATAATAATAATAATAACAATAATAAACACAGGCAAAACTGAGTATGTAGTTCTTTAAATTTTTTACTTTTAAAGATATTGTTTCTTAATTTTTTAAAATAATTTATAATGATTTCTGTACAAACTGTTTCTACGAGCACAATTATTTCGCTGACAAGATCTTCATTGACAGCATTATACAATTTCCTCCATTTTATGTACATTAAGTCATTCACTTCCGAATGACGCCAAACAGCGAAAAACCTTCAAACAAAAAACAAAATAAAATTTAAATAGTACTTTTTTTCACATATTTTGATAGACCTTCTCTAACTCTTTGACTCTGTTTCGCTAATACGTACGTGGACTCTGTTGGTTTTTTTACTTTAAACGTTTTACATAATAATTTTCAAGTATTCGATGCAGGGGTGTTATTTGTAATTTTTAACAGAGAAAATTTTATTTGCTTTATTTACTGTATTGTACTAAATAACAAAGAATAATGTCATTTGCAAAAAAACGTTCTAGCATGTCCTCCTTTTTATACATAGGTGGTCTATCTTATCTGCATAAGAATGTTTCAAACAGGTGTACCAAATCGTATTAGACAAATACACGAAATTATCACTCATAAACCACAATGGAATATTACAAAACGAAAATACACGTTTTTAAATTTGCTTATAATTTAGATTTTGAATGTGGCATATTTGCTCTAACGGCATAAAAATAAAATAATTTCAAACAAATAAAAACAATTAGAAAACTTTGTAGACTATGTCATATGTAAAACTGGAAATAAATAGCATATCTAAAATGAGAAGTCCATGAGAATAATTTTCAGAATGTTGCAAAACATTATTTGTCCCTGTGGGCAAACAATACCCAAAACAGAGTCTAAGGGTCTATATGTGAAAAATATACAGAAAATAAATTACCTGATGAAAAGCTTTACTGACCTGCGTTTATTCATTTGCTTGCTTTGTCTTTCCAATACTCAATAGAAACTTTCTCACTAATGTTCAGAACTTTGTGACATGATAATGCCCATTATAATATAATAGAGCAACATCAAAACCAAAATAATTACAAGTATCATCAATTCTGGATTTGCTACACACTTTGCCATGAATGAGTAATCTGTCAAGTGTTCAATTTTATACAATACCAGATAAGGCAATGTTAGTTATGTGTTCTATTTGTTTCACTTTGGTACACGAGCACACATGATATATTTAACACTTTTCACTACTTTTAAATGAAATAGACAACATATTCTTTTGAAATAAATGAATTAGATAATCCATTCATTTGTTTTATCCATCGATAATAATTTACGGTATCCATCGTTCTGTTGTTCACACATTATTTTTCCTTTCGGCCTTATTAGTTCTTAACCATCTGCTAACTTAGGTGAGTTACATACTAAATGCACGTAAAGATTTAATAATGTTCTGCCATGGACTGAATCTGAATAATTCGAACAGATAATTCAATAAATGTATTTAATTTTGCGATTATTAGCAAACATTTTGGTTGGGAAGCTTACAATACGTGACAAATTTTAAAAAGGCTCTTTCATCAACTTTTCACAAAGCCGCATGTTTTATAAACTTTTTTAAGTTGGGTCAGGGTAAGACACGTTTCTGAGGGAAACATGCATTTTATTAGTCTTCAATCTTCAACTTCGCGTCTTTTGCATATGTTTCTATGCAATTAGAAGAGGGGAGAGGTACATTCGCAATGTATTTAAACAGTGTTTTCTTTTATTATTAGCCTTAGTCTTTCTCTTTAGGAAAATAAATTCAATGAAAATCCCCAACTGCAATGTAGTACTACATGCTGGTCGCGAATTTTGTACAGAGTGAAGGCGTCATATAAATTAAATTAATTTCAAAATGTTTGAACAAGTTATTTTCATTAATTGCAATGTTTCGTAATTGAATAAGTAATTATATTACACTTTTACTTACATATTGAAATGGATACCACTCTGTATCATTCAAACTAGTTAGAAGATTACATATTTTTTGAACACGCAAGAACTTAATATATTTAAATTATTTCACTTTTTATTGTTGTATATCTGTCAATTTAATTTTCTTTCCGTCTGTTTCAAGATGTTTTTTGACAATAAATTGTTTCATGTAATGAAATTTTAGAAAATATTTGTTTCTTCTAAATCGAATCACCTACCTTATCAATCTTCGGGTACCTTACCTTCTGATACAAGTAAAGACAATTGACACTCATTATTTCAAAGCACTTATGAAATTATGAATGATGATTATCTGTAATATGTGCGGTTGTATTTACAGTCGGACCTCCCTTTATCAATTCTGACTGTTCCTTCGATAATATTCGATATATAGAAAGTTCGATGTATGGAATTGTGAAATTTTTGCGAAGACCTTAAATAATCGTAGAAAAATTGAGTAAAATAGAAAATTCAACAATAAATAATTTAAAAATGATTTAATCAATTTTACCGTTTATCGATTAATAGTGAAATGAGTTTAACATGAAATTAATATTACACACGTATCTGTCCAAATCATTAAATCGAACTTTCAAAAATTCGAAAAAAGGCTTTTTTTTCAGAAATTTATAATGTCTTGTTCTACATATGATGCACTCCGTTTGAAATACTGTTCATACTTGTTAACCCACTGAAACACTTCATCTGGAACATTTTATATCAACGCAACCTACGCTGAACTGTCGAATTATCATCGTAGGGCAGGGCAATTAGACGAAGGATCACGCGATTGACTTTCAGATCGCTTTGGCGTTCGCAATCATTGACGAGTGACAAGTTCCCACGGAGATGGAAAGCAGGAACGAGTTACCTTCATGAGAAAGCTGGGAACTGAATGTAGGAATTGCGTTAGTGTTTTACCAATATTTTATTTCATGAAAAAAATATTCAAGTGAGAAAATGAGTTCCATATTGATATATATAATGTTTTAATGGAATTTTCAAGAGCCAGAAAAAATCGATTTATAGGAAATTTCGGTTTATAGAGATTCGATATACGGACTGAGCATAAATTTCCATATTTGAAAATGCGGAGTACAGAGAAGAGTCAACTTGCAGTAGTTGTCCCCTAGAGCGCATAATGCTGAGCGGCGCGGACAGCGGCGTCGGAGGTCGAAATCTGTTTACTTCGTGACTG